ATTAAATTAGAAAAAAATATTTATTTATCTTAAAAAATAAAAAATAATAATAAAAAATTTAAAATATGACACTTATTTTAAAATGAAGGAAGTAATATGAAGATAAATTCGAAATGCATCTATTATTCACATCTATAATTTTCAAATGAAAGGAGTATTAATATAATGGAAAATGATTTTGGGGTAACCTTTTGGTATTATTTTATGGTACAATCTTACGTATTATTTAAATGATTGGTTTTTTTTTTCATATGGGATCTATAATATTGAATACATCAACTTATTTAATGACATGTGAAAATTATATCAAAAGATGGTATAAAAAGATATCAACGATTTGTTGATCCAAATGGAAGGAGGTTGATCCAAGTGAAATGAATTTAATTTCTCTTAAATAAAATATCGAATTCGAGTTTTGTAAATGGAAAAATAGACGTCGGAAGAACTTCCCCTAATGGGTTCAACCCTAATCGATTTTGGATTAGTTGATCGATTTTGAATTAATTGAGATTCAATGTGAATATCGAATATTGAAAGATTAATAAAAAAATAATATAAATTTTTTTTTATAGTATCACTTTAATGTAATATTGGAATAAAAAACAGAAGATTCAAGTACAGAACAAAATCAAATGAAAGTAAATAAAATCCAAATATTTCCTAAACCTCAATTAGGAAAGCTAAAATTATTATTATTATTATTATTATATTTTTTATACTAACTGGAATAGGAGGCCTCGCACCACACGTTCCCATGTTTTGGATATCTCCAATTATTCACAAAGAAAGTAAGAAAATCTACTTTAATTGAGAGGTGCTCTCTTTCCATAATTAAAGGAGACAACGTTTATTGATGACTCAGTCAAGTGTATGAGAATTTAAAGCCTACCTGTGAACTGACTTACATGAATATTAGTATCAGCAACAAAACCAAAGACTAATTAACCAAAACACAACATGACAAACATATCTAAATATCAATAAGATTGTGCTCAAAGCCAACCACCTTACCTAGAGATCAAAAGAGAAATGAAAAATGTAACAGAAAGAACAAAAAAAATCTATGATCAAATAAAAAGACAACGCCAAATAGAGCTACATGAATATTTTACTGCTCTTAAAGAAATCATACCCTAGGAAGAGAAACTTAAAAAAACTACGAGCAATACACGTGATTTTAATAGAATCACACAAGCAAAATTTAAAATATACAAAACAAAATAAATGAAACAGGTGAAACAAAAGCGACAAAGAAAAAATTAACCTAAGGCACATATTAACTTTTTATTATTAACTTACATTAAAAAATAAAAAATAAAATTAATTTTAATTTTATTAATTATTATATTATACTATATTATTTCATATAACTTATCAATATTAAAAATAAAATTTATTTTTATAAAAAAATTAATTAATTCACTACAAATACTGGTTAAAAATTAAAAAGCAGAATAAGACAGAATGAGAAAAAATAGGGACAGACGATAAAGTCCAAAAAGGGGAAAAGAAAGTTCTATATTTCAAATCATAAAAGTTCTTCATTTCAGATCATGAAAGTTCTTCATTTCAGATCATGAAAGTTCTACGTTTATAAATGAATCAAATCTAGTCAACAAAATTAGTTCAGAAAAAAAAAATGAATCAAATCTAGTCAACAAAATTAGTTCAGAAAAAAAAAGGGTCTAGTCAACAAAAACTTGTATGCTTGCTGCCCCACTCTCACTCCCCGTCTCCATTTTTTCTCATCTCCTTTTCAAGCGTATTTATGGGTAACAATTGAAATACTAGTTCTATCTTCTAAGGAATATTTCAAATTAAAGATAAACATTTTCTTTTTCTAAAATATAAAAATGAAGCTTCCCTGCTCTTTCAAAGACTGAAACTTGGAGGAGAAGTTCTTGATCAATTTTCTTCAATTCTTCAATTTTACTCTTTGATCCTTCTTTTTTGATGTGTACCAAATTGGTCCTTTGGATTATTGTTTTTCCAATTATGTCCTTAAGAGCTTGATCTTTTCATGTGGTGCCTTCCGGAAAGCTTTCTTTTTCTTCATGCAATCCATCAACTTTCAATACTTAACATTTAAATCGTTATTATAGGTTAATGTGCAAATGAATCATTGCAATTGAGAGTTTTAAGGTGTTCAATTAATTTTAGCTTTGCAAAAATTTTAATTAAATTTACTCTAATTAAAATCAGATTATAACAGTAAGAATTTAATAATATTTATTACAACCACATAATTTTAAAATAGATAGTTAAAAGATGTTTATTAAAACCACAAATTCTAATTGACAAACATTATAATACATCCTTATATACATGTATGTACAATGACAAAGTAAAATCAATATAAGGTTGTGGCCTTCTATGATTATTTTTTCTATAAAAAGATTATGGGTATAGCTTTTAACATTATTCCCCTTAAAATCTTAGGTGGGATCCCTTTACTTAATTTTTAATTTTTTGGAACCAAAGGGTAGACCCATGCCCAACATTTTGCATGTGGTTCCGCCAATGTATGTGATAGAAACAAAATTACGTTAAGAGTCGTGATCTAAGTCTGTTGTGAAATGGTTGAAAACAAAGAATTAGGTGTATACCATGAGAGCAAATAAAAAGTTTCAGTGAGGTTCAAAGAAAGTGACAACCACTGACAATCCTCTTACGTCATTTTTGCGTCTTCAACTTTTGCAAAGAAGATTTAAGAAGATGTGGATGTATAAATTGGAAAGATATGCATAATTCAAAACACTCCCCTCTCCTCTCATTTCATGGCACTTTTTTCTAAAATACTAACTCAGACTGATATCGATAAAAGACTGGCGATCCCAACTAAGTTCATGAGGCAGCATCTGCCAGAATTTCCAGGGGGCACACTAAACTTGATGGTCGAGGATGTGCGCGGACATGACTGGTCCTTTGGCTATAGCATTCGTAGAGAAGGCCACCCGAAGCCTGTTCTCCAAGCGGGTTGGCTCGATTTCGTCCGCGACAATTGCCTCACTCCAGGTGACAGAATCACATTTTGGCAAGACCAAAATGCTGCCAACGGTCCACGGTACAAGATTGCAGCAGAAAGAAAAATCAAATTGCTTGGTCGAGAATTCTACGCGGCAGTCTGAATTAAATACGCAAATTAAGCACATGAATGCCTACAAATAATTAAGAAAATGGTTTGCTTTAATTATTGTTGCGGTATACATGTAAGTTTGCTCTGATTATTCTTGTGGTATACATGTACTCTTCGTTTAATTTAGGTGTGAACTCTCTTCTTTTTATTTTTCTAAATGATGGCGTATAGTCTTCAAAAAAACAATTTGATTTGACAAAGAAGAAAGGGAGGGGAGGGTGAAGATTGTTTCACCCAAATCAAATTAAGGCATTTTGACCCAATATCTTAATTGATTGGACAAAATCATCTCCTACCTCCTCTCTTCCATTTTCTTTAAACCAAACAAACTCTTAATTTTCTCATATACTAGTTTTCATATATGGTTAGATAATATCTGAATTTGTAGTATATATCTATTAGGACAAATGTTAATAACATCTTTTCTCTTCTTGCGGATTTAATTGTTTTGTCTACTATTTTCTATAATATTATACACTATATGCCAATATTCACAACGGAAATTTTTTTCTCTAACTTGGTAATTAAAAATGCTTAGTTTCTTAATCTTTGATCAATCCTTGTTGGTTGTGACTAATATACTGAATTGTGTTGGTCAACGATGTTCTCATGGACCATGTTACATGGTTGGTGCGCGAGGTCTTATCTTATGTGGCTATGTGGTAGTACTGGCATTCCGTAGCTCCGTGAGCAACAACTTCCAAGAAATTAACTAGGTTTTCATTATTCAATTTGGGACCCTCTTGAAGAATCTATTATTATATATATTGATATTCCTAGAGACAGAAAGGGGATGAATAGAGAAAATTGTAACCATTAATTATAATAAAGAATAATTTTCTTTATATTTAAAGAGAAATTATTTTTGTACAATTAATTTTTTCATTTCATTTTTTTGGACAATTTTTTCATTTTATTTTTTTGTACAATTTAATATGTCATTAAAATGATTAATTTTTTTAATTTATGTGAAACTCGTAATATTAAATGCATCAACTCATTTAATAACACATAAAAATTATATTAAAAAATAATATAAAAAAATTATACTTATAACACCACCCATATTTAAATTTCTCATGTATTCTAAAATTTAAACTTTTATCATCACAAATTTTACCAATTAAGATTCCTTCGTGACAAGATTAGACTTCTTTTGTATAGTCATTACAAGACATACCGAAAAGAAAAAAAAAAAAGTAGTTTATTACCTTATTAGATCAATCCCATCTACACACCCTGCATTTGTTTGACACTTGGTGTGCGTAGATGGGGCTGCTTTCTTTCGACAATTGGGGTTGCTTTCGACCGACAATTGGCGAATAAATCTAACTACAATGCGGCCTTGCACATGGCACATTGTTTGACATTTCGTGTGCGTAGATGGGGTTGTCTTTTTTCGATAATTGGGGTTGCTTTCCATGAAATTTATCCCTCCCCTCTTTTTGAGCCAAAACAGTATGTTTGACTCATTCAAAACACAAATTCCACATTAATGTTTTTCTTTTTTTTAATGGAAGATCAATCTTTATTAACAAATATCATAAGATACAAGTCTAATAATAAGAGAAAATGAAACACTTTAAGAACCATCACTAATTTTCACTTAGCACACGTTAGAATTTATATAGTTGATCTAGTACTTAATGAAATAATTCAAGAAAATCCTGCAAACCTAACATTACTATGTGCACTATAAGAAGACTTAATTAGCAAATTAACATTTTCAAAACTTTCTTCTAATTTCCTTTAAAAATAATTTAGATTGCTAAGGAGTATAAGAGATACTCCATGACAAAATAATACAATCTTCAGTAAACTTCAAAACTACAACTTGCCCTTAATAGCCCATGAAAAAGACTAGAAACAAAAAACTGTACACAACAACCTCCTAAAATAACATTTAATCAATGAATGGCTTTCAAATGCATTTTGTATCCTTTCAAACATTTTCTCAATCGGGCAAAAACTGTCCTGCATTTTACTAGATTTGATGCCTAATCTTAGTAAAAAAACATATAACTTAACTCTTTATCTTTTATCCATAAAAAAATTTATACCTGTATAGAGTCTAGCAATAAATCCTCACCAATCAAACCATTTCTAAACACCTCTGAATTCCTCCTACGCCAAATATACCAAACAGTGACAAAAAAAAATTAATGCTCCTATATCCTGGACACATCCCCCACCTATACCATTTAACATCAACTCTGCCATCCCAAAAACTTCATTTGGCAGAACCTCCTTCGAACCCCACCATGACAGCACCTTCGTCCAAACTCACCAAACCACACTACATTCACAAAAATAAATGACTAAGGTCCTCCACTGCTTCACTGCCCAACCCACACCTCATATCCTCTCCCTTTTTAAACACCCCCATTTTACAATGGTTCTCCTTCCCGGCCAATCTATTTAGGAATAACTGCCATCCAAAGATACTAACCTTAGACGGAATGTATTTACTCCAAATTAGTTTACACCGTTTCCCATCAAGAAGGTGATAGGATGCCCTTTAATTATATTCTTCATGGATAATGAGAAATGTAGTCTATATGGTTATATTCTTAATGGCCACGCCGCCCTTAGGATATAACAGCGCAACCTTTTCACGTTATGTCTTTACAAGTACTGCACTCTTGTAAAGAAAACTCTACCCCACCACCTTTTATTTGCTCAAAGAGAGTTTGTATACAAGGTTTGTGAAATAAGAGTGCAGATTAGAAAAATTGTATCAACTTCTGGTAGAAATAGAGACTGCCTTTTTATAGACTACTCTCTTATGTAACTGAAGTAGACAAACTATTGTAATTTGAATTGAAATTTTCCAGTGTCAAACGAGATTTATAACTAATGCAACAATAATGAAATCAAGTAATCGACTAATGCAACAATAATGAAATCAAGTAATCAACTGACATTTGAGACTAAAGCAATGATGAGAAATAATGTATGGGTTTAAAACCATTTAAAAAAAAGAAAAAAAGAAAAGAAAAAAGAAACAATTGGATTTGTAACTGTTGCCATTTCGAAAAATGTGTATCTCTTGAGATTAAATCTTTAAATAATAGATTCATAATTGACTAGAAATGATTTTAAAAATAATGAGATTTGTTTCGGTTACAATTTTTAATTAAAATTTACAATACATTCTCCTCTAAAACTTAACAGCCCACTTGTTGGATCATATTATTATGTTGCCAGTAAGGATGTGGGCTTGATTCTTGGATTCGTATGGTTAAAATCTTATTTTCTTCTCTTTCCTTTAATAAAAAGTTTTTTCTTTTTAGTTTTCTTACTTAAGAAAATTTCTTTTTAATTTTTAAAGTTTAGTATTTACTTCTTTTTTTAGTCCTTTTGTTTTTTGTTTTTTTGCATACGTGACGTAATAAATAAATAAAAATTTCAAAATAAAGAAACTAATAATAAATAAATGAAAATTTCAAAATAAAGAAACTAAAAAGAAACTTTTTAAAATAAAAAGACCAAAAAGGAACCTTTTTAGTTCATTTTTAGTTTCTCCATCTAGAAATTTCTACCACCTAAAAATTTTTATCATCTAATATGTTACATATATAAAAAATAACAAAGAAACTAAAAAAAGATAAGATAACAAACTTTAGAGACTAAAAGAAATTTTTTCAAGTAAAAAGAGTAAAAAAGTTTTGTATTAAAATAAATGGACCAAAACAAAAGTTTAACCAATTTGTTTATTCTTATACTGAATCCACTCTACAGGTCATTATCAATGTTACTTCTTCAAACCCGTTTTAGGGTTCACTAAAGACTTGTTGCATGACTAATTTTCCAATGTCCCAGGGTGGAGAAATTCCTCCATTACCAAACAATGAAATATCGCGTCAACAGTATGAATGATGATAAAAGTACGAATTTTATAAGAGTAAAATTTAGAATAGATGATATAATATAAGTCACGATAATTAAAATATTAAAAAATAATTTTTATATTATTTAATAATTAATTATTTTTTATTTTATTAAAATTTATAAGATTATATATATTAATTCATTTAATAATATAATTTATGTCATATCATTAGTTTTGGATTTTAGTTTTCAATTTTTGTCTCCCCTGTGTCACTACTCTAACAGTATTTTTGTTTAATAATATTATGAGAAATTAGTAAGAATAATAGTAAATAAGAATAAAATTTAGGAGAAAAATATGAAATCTAATGACATGGTTTATATTGTGTTATTTAAAATATTAAAAAATAAATTTTATAATTTTTAATAATTAATTTTTTTAAAAAATTAATAATATTATATTTATTAATTAATTTAATAATGTGATATAAATCATATTATTGATTTCAAATTTTTATTTTAAATTTTCATCATTTCCATCATTACTCAATTGGTAAGTAAGAAGTAATTAGTAAGTATAACTTCTTACTTGTAATAAATTAATCTACAAATGATAATAATTATGGGTGGAGATCATACTTGCTAATTTGTCACGACTCCATTAGACAGAGATACCGCTGACGTAACCTCATCAAAATGGAAGACTTGCCCCCTAAAGTGGTGGTAATGACGTAAATCCCTTTGTTTTTTTTCTTTTCTTTTTTCTTTTTTTGTAAGAAAAAAAAGCCTAACAAAATTCATTTGTCAAAAAGTGAGGGACAGCCTCATGGACGTTAGATATTTGAAGTCAATGCATATCCATTATTACATAATATTCTCCCTTAATTATATGTACATTGTTATGATTATATTCACATTATAATTGATTTCATACTATAAAATATTCTCTTATATAGGCTTATATATCGACACTTTGTATATTCAAATAAATCAAGAAAAGTATCATTTTTCTTCATATTTTTCTCTCTTACCTTGTTTTCTCACATGTTATCAGAGCTACTGAGCTCTTTTACCTCTTTTCACTTTTTTATTTTTTGCTTCTAGTTTGCGCCAATAGTATTGTGATATATTGTTGTTTTCAGCAAGTATCATTCCAAGTTTCCTACTTTTGCTTCGATTGTGCCCAACGGTCCTAACTAGCATTGTGCGTTCAAAATTGCTCTCCGGTAGCTAGTTGTTACTGCCCAAATCTGCATCAGTCTCTTTTGATTCGATCAGATTTCTTTACATAATATCTTTATTTTTTCATGGAGAAATTTGATATTTCACACCCAATTTCAACTACTCTCAATGGCTCAAATTACATACTTTGGGCTCAAAGTATGCACAGTTTTTTAAAGGGTCAAAAATTATGGCGGTATATTACTAGTGACATTACACTTCCACAAAGGTTGCCGATGAGACAGATAAGAAGTATGTTGACCGTCTGGAGGACTAGGATAGCAAAAATCATTAGATCATCACTTGGTCCTGCAACACCTCAATTCCTTCCATTCACCTTCAGTTTGGACAGTATGAAACATCTAAGGAAGTGTGGGATTTGCTTGCAACAAGGTATACCACTTCTGATTTATCCAATCAATATCAATTGTGGGAAGAGCTACACAATTTGAAACAAGAACGAGGAGAGTCCATTACTAGTTTTTATGCTAAGATGGAGGCTACTTGGGATTAGCTTGCTCTCTCAGAACCAACTGTCAATGACACTGCTGATATTGGGAAGTACATTGAGTATCGTGACAAAATGAGGTTAATTCAATTTCTTGTGGCACTTACTGATGATTTTGAACCATGCAGAGCCTCTCTCTTACATCAGTCTCCTTTACCTACCTTGGATAGTGCTTTATCACGGTTATTATCCAATGAAACTCATTTGGGCTTACTTAAGCCTCAACGAGATAATACTATGGCTGCAGCTATTAATAAGTTTCCTTTGAGTAAGAGAAGACAGAAGCATTGTCATCACTATAACAAATACGAACATGCTATATATGAATGCAGTCTGGTTAAATGTCATAAATGTAAGCAGAAAGGCCATATTGCTCCTAATTATACTACTCCACTACCTCAAAGATCTAATTTGTGGAAGACCCAATCAAAGCCTGATCAATATTCCAAGCCTATGGTTGCTACAGTTGCTACCAATTAGGATACCTCAATCCATCCTTCGATTGGTAATCTAGAAACTCTTTTAAGATAGATGATATCATCTTCCTCTACATCTACTACCTTGCCTACCATCCCAAGTAACGTTTCTTGGATTTTTTGACTCTGGTTGTTGCAACTATATGACTTCAAACTCTAAACTTTTTTCTACATTAACCCCTAATACCACCACACCTGCAATCCAGACTGCTAATGGTTCACAAATGCAAGTTAGCCAATATGGTCAAGTTTCTACTTCTACCCTTACCTTACCAAACACTTTCCTAATACCAAAACTTAGTTTCAATCTTATTTTTGTGGGACAACTGCGTGAATTTGGTCTTGAACTAATATTTTCTACTCATGGTTGTCATGTGTAGGATCCACAACCAGGACAGATTCTTGGGACATGCAATAAAGTTGGACGTTTGTTTGAGCTCACCTCCTTACACATCCCTTCTAGTTACATTTCCCAGTTGTGTGCGATCTCAGCATCTTCCTCTTTACACTTGTGGCATCTTCGTCTTGGTCATGCCTCTATTAGTAAACTTCGTCCTTTAATTCAAAATGGGTCTTTAGGTTCTGTTAAAGAAGAGTCTTCACATTGTGTCTCATGTCAAGTTGCTAAACAACCTGCTTTATCTTTTAATAAAAGTGATTATGTTTCGCTTGCACCTTTTTATTTAGTACATTCTAACATATGGGGCCATCTCCTACTCCTACCATGGGTGGTTCAAAATATTTTGTGTTATTTGTTGATGATTATTCTCACTTCACTTGGCTATATTTGATGAAGAAACGCTCAGAATTACCTCAAACTTACTTTGAGTTTGCTAATATGATAAAGACTCAATTCTCTAAAACTATCAAAGTCTTGAGGACTGATAATGCTCTTGAATATCTTGATTCTAAATTTTAGTCTTTTCTTAAAGAACAGGGCACAATACAACAAAGATCTGGTCCATATACCTCGCAACAGAATAGGCGGGTTGAGCGTAAACATCATCATATTTTGGACTTAGTTCGTGCTCTCCTGATTTCTTCTTCATGTCCTGAGCGTTTTTGGGGTGAAGCTGCACTTATAGCAGTCTATGTCATAAATCGAGTCCCATCCACTATCACACAAAATAAATCTCCCTATGAGTGTCTCTACAATATTCTTCCTACCTATGATCTTCTTAAAATTTTTTGTTGTGCTTGTTTTGTTCTCTTACCTTCTCATGAACATCACAAGTTAGAGCCTCGAGCTCGACTTTGTTGTTTTTTGGGGTATGGGATACAACATAAAGGTTATTGTTGTTGGGATCCAGTATCACAAAAACTCCGTGTCTCTCGTCATGTTGTTTTTTGGGAACACACTATGTTTGCTTCTCTTTCTAAATTCAAGGTGTCTCCTTCTCATCAAACTCATATCTTTACTAATCCATCCCTTGAGTTATTTCCTAGTGATAATGCAAGGTCTCCTGATGAGCTTTCAAATGATCAAACTACCATGGCTCCTATTTCAAAAGATGTTTCTTCTACGGATATTACACCTGGAACAAATGAGATTGAAAATTTACCAGTTGCTTCCTCTTCCAGTCATCCTACTCAGGTAAGAAACCCACCTACATATCTTCAAGATTACCATTGT